ACGGCGTCAGCGTCCGCTGTCCGTTGCGTGGGATTCCGCAGTGTCATGGGGAAAATGTGGAGCAAACAGCGCGACCTCGATCCGCCAGTGAAAGCGGCACGGTGGAACTCCTCTCGGTGACGTCGTTGTGCACCGCCAGCGGGCCAAGGCGGAGCGCCTCCATCGCCGAGAGGGAGTCTGTGGCGGCAGGAACTCGTGTGGGCGATTGGGATGCTGCTGCCAGACGGGGAACTGAAAACTGTCTGTGGCCATGCTCAGTGGCAGGACACTCCGCTCGGCAGGAGCATGCAAGGCTGCCAGAAGCTGCGCGGTGAGGCCCGACAGGGAGCGCGGCTCTCCGGGGAGTCAAGTGGCAGCGCAGCGGACTCAGATGCACGCTCAGCGAGAGACGACGAGCCGTCCACCGCCAAGACAGTCGCCAGCGAATAACAAGACGTTGACCATGAATAGGACACGTATGCCGCACTGCCGTGGGCACGGACAGCGACCCCGATTCACTCAGCAACAGCGATCTAATGCCCCTGGATGGTACAACAGCCACGCCTGAGCCCAGCACAGCCCTAGCAAATGCTGAACGAGTGATAACGTGTCGGGTGGCGCTGATGCCGCACAGGATTATTTGCGCACAACGTCTGGGAAACCAGAGATCGCATCGGAGTACAACGCAGCATCACTTGTGCGCAACGGTTTTTGTGAGTACGGGCATTTCACGGATTTGTTGGCCATGGCCGAAATTGGTGAGAGCACCGTGCATGGGTGTGTGTCTCGGGTGTTGTTGCTTCTGATTCTGGGGCTGTGGGGCACTGCGGCACTCTGCTGAAGTGTGAGGGAGGGTGGAACTGCGGTTTTTCGTGGAACAATAACCGTGCAGCTTGCCAGCATTACCCACTGAGTTTTTTCAATAATTTAAGTTTTTTTTATTTCTTTTATTTATTTATTTTTGCTGCTTTTGCCCTATTGGAATAATCAGCATCCCTGTGTTTTCCCCCAATGCTCGTTTGCAGTACTTTGTCATGAGTGACGTATTTTCCATCTTGTTTTCTTTTTTGTCCACACGCGGTGCCGGCCCTGCGGCTGTGCGTCCCACGGACTGCACGAAAGGAGGATTGGAGGAACAGGCCGGATGCCGGACGAAACGTGAGGGATGTTGTGTGGGCTGGTGGAGTAGCAAGATCTCTTTTTTTCTCATATTATTTTCTGCTATTTTTGCAAGGCATATGTATACACAAAAAAATGGTCGTCTATATTGCGTTGCTTGGCACATAAAATAAAAGTCGTGCCTGATCGATTTTTTGTTTTTATTTTTTGGGAGTCATGCCGGACTCTCAACTCTGTCGTTGTTCTTTTTTACTGCATTTTTAACTTCTGGTTTGCGGGGCGTTTTGTGAGTTCTGCAATTGTACTGATTCCAACTGCCTCATGGTGCGTGCATTGCCATTTGTCACTGTGCGTGGTGTAGCTGCCGTGTCTTTTTTTTGCTTTTGCTCTGCGTTGAGTTGGAGTTATTTTGTGCTGTAGGCTACACGCAAGTGACAGGAGTGATGGCGATGATGATGACTGGCCGTGTGCTGCTGGTGTGTGCCCTCTGCGTGCTGTGGTGCGGTGCCGGCGGTGTCTTTGCTGACGAGGTGGTACCTGTTGTCGAGCCACCTGTTATTTCTGCAAGCGGTGGTGTTGTTACCGACAAAGACACTGGTCGTACGGCACCTGGTGGAGCAGGAAACCCTTCCGTAGAGAAAACAGAGCTGAAGAAATTTGAGGGTTCCGCACCCGGGATATCGTCATTGGAAGCTGCCTCAGAGATTGAATCAACAAAACAGCAGACGCAATCCGACCACGAACACAAGGATCCAGTGACACCTTCACAATCATCGGGAGAACAGCGGCAAGATGAACAAAACGAAGATCCACCAGAGGAACCGGGGGCGTCACTCGGTCAAGAGGAGAGGAAGCATGCATTAGGTGGAGTTCCAGAGAGAAATAATCCGCCACCTGCTTCAAGTAACAACAATACCGTCAGCAGTAATAGTGAGGAACGCAGAGAAGATACTTCGAGGAGTACTGAAATTATTGTTGCAGCACCGTCAGATGAGGGGCACGAACGTGAAAATGTTACTCCTTCTTTGGAACAACCCTTGGAAGCTTCCACAGCCGCACCGGCCATTACCACTCAAACAAGTTCCATTACGCCGCCCGACGAAAGTGGGAGCAACACCGTCAAAATGAGTGAGGCATCACCCCAATCAACAGGAACTACTCAAACAAATCATACGGCGACACCTGGCGACAGTGACGGCAGCACCGCGGTCTCTCACACCACCTCCCCTCTTTTGCTTCTTCTTGTTGCGTGTGCGGCTGCTGCTGCGGTGGTGTCCGCGTGGGAGTGAGTGAGAGAGAGCCGTGCACCGCCCGCACACACACTCGCCCTTTTCTCTCTCTCTGTGTGTGTCCCCTTGCATGGACTCTCGCCCTCACCTCATCCCACGAAGCACACACATAATGTGCCCATTGTATATATTGCATGCACACCCATGCAGGCCCGTTGGTGCTCTCTTTTGCACGACACGCACCGCTGCCGTCCTGCCTGGCTGCATGGGCGGAGCATCGTGACTGTTTCTGTTTTGTTTTTATTGCATTGAGTGGGCGACCTCTCTCTCTCTCTCTCCCTGTGTATGTGTTTTGCTTTACGGGAGCAATGAGGATGTGTGCGCTGGTCGTCCCACGCCTCGGCCTTTCTTTTGTTTTGAATCTCTGCTTGTGTTGTGGTTGGATAGGCATACTCCCATTACCCCTCACTTTTTTTTGCTGTGGTGACGCCTGCATGTTTCCTTTTTGTATGTGATTGTTTCTTCGTTGTTTTTATTTTGATTTTAGTGTTTTGTTTTAATAATGCTTTTCTTTTTCAATTGTTGAAGCTGTACACTGTCGCGAGTGACGTGTTTCTCCCTCTTTGTTTTGGTTTTTCTTGCCCACACGCGGTGCCGGTCTCATTGCTGTGCGTCCCACGGACCGCGCGAAACGAGGATTGGAGGAACAGGCCGGATGCCGCAATGAAGTGTGAAGGGTGTTGTGAGGGCTCATGGAACAGCAAGTTCTGTTTTTTAGTTTCCATTTTTGTGCGGGCAAAATGTATACAAACGGTCGTCATGTGCTTCTAGGCACATGAAATGACAGTCCTGCCTGAACAAGCTTTTTATTCTGTAAGTTCTGTTGGACTCACAATTTTTTTTTTTTTTTTTTGTAAATACCTGTGGCTTGTTTTTTGTTTGTGCCGTACTCACTGTCACTTTTTTTTACCGTCTCCCGTTGAGTGTTCCTCTGCTGGCTTTGCTACTGACATGCCTCCACTTCTTCTTTCCTGCTAGTGGCACCGATGGTCCGCGACGACGATTGTTTGTGCTCCCCATTGCGATGGCACGAGGGTGACTGGACGCGGCCTGCTGAGTGCAGTCGGAAGGGAGAAGATGGTATGCGCCGTGCCTCACTGTGAGAATGGGGCGTAATTCCAGTTCGTTGGGGAAGAAAGGAAAAAACAGCACCGTGGACCTGGATGCGTCACGTCCCTCTCTTTGCGGCCGTGTGTGTGCTGGGCGCATGGCTCTATCTTGCGGTGCGACGTGGATGGCATTGCTTTTGTTTGTGCCCTTGTGCATGCGCTGTGCGGCGGGCTTCCCTTCCCCATGACACCGCCCTTGTGTGCGGGCGAGTGGAGGGAGCGGAGGTGTGAGGGAGTGAGGGTGGCCGTTGTTTCCGCACATTTGGATCCTCCACAAAAGTGGCTCCTCTTGGCAGCCTCTCGCAGCACCCAGGCCGTGGATCGAGAGGATGGGAGGGTCTGCTCCAAGCACAACGAGGACACCGAGATGCAGTTCATGACGGCCAACCTGATCCGCGGGTGGTTCCAGCGCATGGAGCACGTGCGCTAGTACGCGTTCGGCGTTGCACTCATCATTGGGGAGGAGAGGCGGCACGACATTGTGGCGCTGTGGGTGTTCCGCGGCCGGGGCATGCCGGCGATTGTGGAGGACGTGGAGGACACGGAGCTGTTCGACTGGGAGGAGGTCGCCGACGTCGCGGCGCAGCGGGAGCGCATCACGGACTACCTGTGCTGGGAGGGCCCGGCGATCCCGAGGCCTGTGCTGGAGGGGCGTGTGTTCAAGTGAGCGTGGCGTGCCTGTGAGGGACTGAGTAGAGAGAATAACGGTAATAGTAACTGTGGGGGTGTGAGGAACGGGACAATGGCGAGGAGCACTTCTTTTCTTTTTGTTGTTGTTGTTGTTGAGCGGCGTCCACCTAATTGTTGTGGTGGTGCGTGACTGTGTGACTTGTCTCTCACCCTTTGCTTTTGCTCCTTTTTGACGGGGAGTTAGTTTGTGCTGAAGGCTGCACGCAAGTGACAGGAGTGATGGCGATGATGATGACTGGCCGTGTGCTGCTGGTGTGTGCCCTCTGCGTGCTGTGGTGCGGTGTATTTGGAATTGTGGCCTACGGTGCCTGCGGTGGGGATGCCGATGGCAGTGCGGTTGAGTATTCGCTCTTGCGGTGGCGCGCTCAGCTGCGGAGTGAATGCGCGGAGGAGGTCAGCAGGAGGACAGGAGACGGTGCGAATGCGTCTGCCGTGGAGGAATGCGTGCGTCAGGGGACGGACGGTGTGCGTGCCGTTGTGGATGGCCGCGGTCATTGGAGGCCTCAACAGTTTGTCGTTGTTGCTGCTGAGAACGCTGAGGAACTTGAACACAATCATGAATCTTCTCCACAAACACTAACAGGGAGTGTCGCTCAGTTGCCGGATCAACAACCGTTGGAATCATCGCCGAATTCAGTGCCAGGATCAGCAGTTATTACAACTGGAGAAGGGAAGCCAACAAGTTCCGCACAGCCTCCTGGTACGCCGGATAAAGGAAGTGAAGGATTAATAAAAAAGGAAAGTGACGATGAAGGCACAAAGGAGAAAAGCGAAGAGGAAGAGGACGAGGAAGTTGAAGAAACCGATGAAGAAGAAGATGATAATGCAGGAAGCGGGACATCTGATGGAAGTCAAGAACAAGGAAAGCAGAAAGCAGGTACTGGACAAAGGGCATCAGGAGGCACTGGAAAAGAAAATGGAAATGTTGTTGCCGGCAATAAATTGACTGAAGCGGCCGCAGCCTCTCCGCCTGTTGTTTCCGTCGACGTCGAGAATCCCAAAAGTGTCGAGTTGACTCGTGACGATGTTGGAGGAAAGAGACAAACCCATGAAAAGACAGTGCAAGAGCCACCAGCAGTAAAGCTGAGAGAGAATGTAGCAGCGGAAATAATTTCCACGGAAGATGCAGCGGAAGGGGAAAAACAAAAGGCGGAAGAAAAAGCGGAGGAAACAGAAACGAAAGAGGAACAAAGAACCACCGCAGAAAAATTAAAAGAAGAAACGCCAACAACACCAGAGAAAACGACGAAAGAAGAGCAAAAGGATAAGGAGGTACAACACGTACAAAGCAAAAACGAAGAAAAAGAAACGGATGGAGCAGAACCAACAGCCAAAAAAGAGGCAGACGTTGAAAAAACGGCCGCATTCAAAAATATCAACATGAATAACATTACCAAACCTGGCGAAAGTGACAGCAGCACCGCTGTCTCCCACACCACCTCCCCTCTTTTGCTTCTTCTTGTTGCGTGTGCGGCTGCTGCTGCGGTGGTGGCCGCGTGAGAGTGAGGGAGAGAGAGCCGTGCACCACCCGCACACACACTCGTCCTTCTCTCACTCTCTGTGTGTGTGTGTCCCCTTGCATGGACTCTCGCCCTCACCTCATCCCACGAAGCACACACATAATGTGCCCATTGTATATATGCATGCACACCCATGCAGGCCCGTTGGTGCTCTTTTTTGCACCACACGCACCGCTGCCGTCCTGCCTGGCTGCATGGGCGGAGCACCCTAACTGTTTTTGTTTCCATTGCGTTGAGTGGGCGACCTCTCTCTCTCCCTGTGTGTGTGTTTTGCTTTACGGGAGCAATGAGAGTGTGTGCGCTGGTCGTCCCACGCTTTTTTTTCTTGTTCTCTTTTATTGTTTTACTTGTGTTGTGGTTGAGTGCACCCATTACCTTTTTTTTTGTGGATTATTGGGTTGCTTTTACTGCGAACACCTGAATTTTTGTTTTTATTTTTCTATTGTTTTGTTTTTGTTGAGGAAGTGTCAGTTTCTCGTATTCTTGTAAGGCCAATTAGCTTTTCTTTGACATACGCCATGCGTCATTTGATCAATGCCACTCCACGGCCAGCAGCGCTGCTTCTTCTGTTTGTGATGATCTGTGCGATGTGATTTGCCAGCGGATGGCTTGCTTTCACCCTGAAGTATTCCTTATTTCGTGACGATGTGGTCTCCTCCGACGGCGAGGTTTATCTTGTTTACGGTGAGGAAAATGCATCTCAGGGCGGAGGATGCGTTGCAGTTGTGCAGCGGCGTCTGGAAGGACCCATGGGTGCCCGTCCGCGTCAAGACGTCAAAAACAGACCCGTGTGACATCAGGAGGCGCTGCGTCTTCTCCTGGTCTCACGCAATGAATCTAATGAATGACAATCGCCACTCTGAGGATAGTGTTCTATCCGCTGCACACGGTAACCTCGTTGCCGAGGAGACTGTCCCTGCTGCTGTGTAACTGCATTCGGATCGTCTGCTCGTCCGGCCACTGGAGGGTCCGTTGATTGTGCCCCCACTTGCCACGGGCAGCGTTTGCAGTCGGTGCACGGTGACTGCTGGGCATTGTTCCACTGGTGTTGCCAATTCTGTCATCGCGCAGTGCGTGGCTGCTGTGCTGGGTGCTGTGTGGGCACTGCGGTGCGCCACGCTGGAGGATGGCCGTCCAGTCGCTGGCGCCATGCAAATTGCTCGGCCGTTTTATTTCACGGACGCATCGTCACCCGCAACGCCGCGCACCTGTTGGCCCATGCTCTAGGGTTCACCTGCCCGCACATGGGTGGCCGCAGCATGGTGAGGAATGTTGTCGGTGTGCGTGGCAGAGCGCTGTCGGTGGTGGTGCACTCGACGAATGCCGCGATGGCTGTGAGGGAGCGCCACGACTGCGACGACATTGATGGCTTGGAACTGCAGGATGGCGATGGGGACGGGAGGAAGCTGGAGCCGCACCGGTCGCAGCGCCACGCTAGGGATGAGTGGATGGCACCGATTGTGGGTGCAGACGGCTGCAGAGAGGAAGTGCTCCGCACTGAACATGAGTGAATATTGCTACATGCTCTGCGCATTGGGCGTTCCTGCCAGACGCTGCGCGTCGGATCGTTATTCCATTGGTTGGTGTTTGGGGAGTATCCATGAGATGTCAGCAAAACACTCGATGGGCCGTTGCCCCATCACTGATTCCGCACTGGATGTGAGGAATATTGAGGGTGTTATTTGGGAGGGGAGAATATTTCTCTGCGATGCCTGGGGATGAGCCCTCTTCGTGGTGTCTGGACACGCTTCCACCAACACGACGGATGCGAGTGGCTCGGAGGAGACGCATCTCGGTGCTGCCATGCATGCGGCATTGGGGTGCCTCGGCATGCAAGTGCATCTGGAAGTGACTGAAAAGGGTAACGCCCGTTGTGTCCCATGCGCGGACGGGGCGACGATTGCTTGGGCCACTCCGCCCTACGATGGGGGAAACGTTATTTGCCGTGACCACGCGCAGTTGTGCACGATATCTGCCAGCAGCGGTAGCCTACTTCCAGTGGTTCCGTGGGACGGCGAGGAGAGAGCATGTGGAGCAGGACGGTTTCACCGGCATCCACTGAACAAGGATTGCCAGGGGGCTTCCGTCCCTGTTGCGGAGAGCATTGAGACCGACCGCGGCACACCACCGAAGGATGTCGACTTAGCTGCTCCTCAGGTGAATCCGTCGCCAGAGGAGAAGTGGATCCAGCCAGGATGCCCCGACAGACCGCAAGAAGCTTCTCTCGGCGGCAGGGACCGAAGCAGCGAGACGGACGGCAGGCAGGACACGCCTCCGACTCCCGGTAATGACACTGCTGCTGCTGCTTGTCCCTGTCCGCTGCTTCTTCTGCTTGCCTCTGCTGCCGCCGTGGCAACACTCTATGGATTTGCGGTGTGGATGGCGTTGCGTTGCGAGGCGACTGAGCTTCCTCCTGCGTGGCCTGCACCCACCATTGTATGTCCAATAGAAAAACATCCATTTCAATGGGTGCCGTTCTCTATATGCATGTGCTGTGTCCGCTCTGTTTGACCTTTTATTTGAGATTGGTGGTATTTCCGGTGCACATAGCTCCCCTCGTGTTGGTTGCCGATGTTGGGGGCACCAGATGGTCGTATGGCATTGCTTGTGTGTTTGTTAGATTTTCTGAGACGCAAATAAACAAAAACGGTGCGAGTGGAATCTGCGCACACAAGACACACACATCCAAGCACATTGTCTGTGTGACTTCTAATTGACATATTATGCGTGGCGGGTTGGTGCGGTCAAGGCCGACGGAAGCGGGGCAGCTGTGTGAGTCCAGCAATGGCGTTTGTGGTTGTGTGCGGGATTATATATTCCATCAGATGCTTGACGCCGTTCATGGATCGTTTAAAGTTTTTTTCTGCGATGCCCATGCTGCGTCTGTGCTGAGCAGGTCACTGCGTCTCCATGATCTCATGGAACACGGCGTGATGCTGCTCGAGGAGCTCATGACGCCGCAGCTGCCGATTATGAGTAGCCCCGCACCCTACTTTTTTCCGTGGAGGATGCGTCTGTGAGCCGCGTGGTTGAGGATTGGATGGCAAAGGTTCCGTACAGAGATGCACACATCTTTGCGCTGAGGTGCACCCCGCATCGCAGTCCTCAGCAACTCGTGTGGGCTCGGATAGCGCCGAGGGCGATGCGTTCCAAGGACATTATGTTAGATTTTACTGCCTTTGAGGTGCTGGTGTTCCACCTCAGCATGCAGAATGGGTTCCCTCAGCTGCTGTCGCTGCTGTCGCCTCCGACTCGAGAGTCCGTTGTGGATGTTGCGGCGTCACGTCTTGTGGCGGCTTTTTACGCCATGAACAACAGTGTGCCCGGCATTTGCCAACAAAACAGTGGCAGTATCTGCCATGGGTTTGTCACGCTCTGCCACGACAAAGAGGATTTCACTTAGGGGCGCCGACAGCCGCGGCAACCCGGTGCGGATCATCGTTGATTGGGGCTGTGTCACGGTGATGCCGCTGATTCACCAACGCACATGTCAGTGTCTGCTTGATGACCTGATGCCGCTGGGGAAGAAAGTGTATGAGCGGACCCGTAGGAATTGTCTGGGGGTGGACCCGAAGCGGCAGTAATTGGTGGGGAAGATGTGTACCGGCGCTCCTACCGTCATTGTTTTCTTGCGCAGTGCGTGGAGCTTTCGGTGGCGCTGAAAAAACTCCACGCGTATCACCCGGGATTGGCGCAGGGCGTGGAGCCGAAGGCCAAGCTTGCGGAGTTGAGCAGTGCGGTGCGGGCTCCGCCGGAGTTTTGGGAGAGGCAAGCCAGACTGTCGCTGCACATCGATTTTTTGCGCGAGGCTTGTGGCACAGTACCGGGAGAAGCGATTGGCGGAGGTGCGGGAGGTGGAACAAGACATCGCCGTTGGGCACAAACCCCTCAGGAAATAACTGGATGGCGTGCGGCGCCTGGCGAGGGATGCCGCGATGCCCCGGCCAGTGCGTCTGCGCCTTCTCCTGTTGCCTGTGGCTGCGAGCAGCACCGACGAGTTGACGGAGGTCAAGGGGCAGCAGCTGACCCAAGACGGTGGACTGACGCCCGACGCCCATTTGTCTGCGAACCTTGAGCATGTGACGAGGAGGGCCGGTAGCGTGCAACAATACAGCACGGCGTCGGCGCAGAGCGAACGGAGCACGAGTGCCTCTGCGAGCAACGCCGCGACGGACGAGGATCCGTTTCTGAAGCAGGCCTGCATGCTTATGGAGACGACGAACAGGAATAGGACGCTGCGGGTTGGGCTGTCGTTGGCATCGGTTCAGCGCGATCATGTGATAGGGCCAAATGGCGCGAGTTGTGGTCAAAACAGTGGAGCATGAGGGGACAACGCCGGGTCATTTCAAGGGTGTGGTGGCAAATGGGAGAATCATCCTGTTCTGGGTGGCGGTGGTGGGACGATTGCCCTCACAACTCCTCAGCGCATTGTGCTGTTTGTTTTGTGTGGTGTGGCCTGCAGCGAGAGGCGCTCGGTCCATGAGATATCCAAAAGGTATGGCCGTGAGGTGGTCATTGGGGAGCCTCGTTGCCGCGTTCTGAGGTGTGTTTGTGCAGGGACTTGGCACCCCACGGCACTGTGACTCACGGGCGAGACACGCACAGGAATGCATCGAGGGCCAAAGAGTGGGAAATATACAAACACACACGATTGCGGGTGTCCATGGGGATTGTGTGCGCTTCTTCCTGCATTCCGTTCCTCTCCATGAAGTGTTCCATACGATGCGCGTGTGTGTGTTTCAACGGCTGCGCTGCTCGCCTTTTGCTTTTGTATTCTCGCGTGTGCGGTTGCGGGCCATTTCTCTGCCACGATGAATGCGGATAAAAAAGGAAGGACATTTGTGGAGCATGCACCCACGGCTTCAGTGTTCATCCACTGGTGCTGACCTTTCTTGCCGGGGCATTTGTGCACGCTTTTCCCTCCATTATCTATTTTTTTTTACGCAGGAATCAACAGGTGGGCATTCGTGAGTGCTGCGGCAGGCTGTTGTTGCCCTCGCCGGGACGCGCTTAACGGCGGCAGCTCCATGACTTTGGACACAAAAGGAATGGGAATTTCTCCGGATCCTCACCGCAGGCGCATGCCGTGGACGGCCGAAAAGAAGCGTGTGCCCGGTGTTGTTCATAGCTCCAGGGAAAAGATGGTGTTGGATGGTGCACGACGAGTGGATGTGGATTGCGTTGACCGTGCATCGCAGGTGTATCCGCTGGAGGCATTGCCGGCGACTGTGGCCAGTTACGAGTACAATACATTTAGAGGAAAGAACATTTTTGAATTGGCTTCTCAGGCGGAATTAAATGCACTCAGGCAATGGGTTTACTGCAAGGAGTGGCAGGAGGGGACGCACGACGAGAACGCCACTCGCACCGCCATTCATTTCCATCGCCACGGCAGCAACGCAGCATCATGCTACTACACGACGTCTCACGGCGAAACCACGACGCAGCCCGCGCCAATACGCCTTGCGGATTTTCCGGGGTGACATGCACTGTTCCGTTTGGCGTCTTTGTTCCCCATCCCCGAGCGTCGGTGCAGACGTCTCTGTCGATACATGTCCCTGTCGATTGCGGACACACCCATTGATTGATGCGGCCGACACCCCAGCCCATTGCTGGTGCTTCTTGCATGACTGCTGCACCGCCCCCAGCAGCTGGTGCAGTGGGACTGGGGACGAGAACACGGCAGAACAATTTCAGTCAGATGGTGCTGGCAGTCCTGTCAGAGTCCCGCCGACTCCAGCGACCTACCACACCACCAGCGAGCACAGAAATCGACGGGACGGGAGAGAAATCAAATGACTCCCAGGGAAACAATTGTTTTTTAACATCACTCCCAGACAAACAGCCGGAAGAATTTACAACAAGATCAGTCACTAATGAAAAAGGAACAGCGACCACCGCCGACAGCCGCAGCAGCACCGCGGTCTCCCACACCACTTCCCATCCTTTGCATCTTGTTGTCACGTATGCGTGCTGCTGCTGCGGTGCCCAGGCCTGCATGAAGTGGTGTGCGCTGAATATGAAGGAAGGCCGAAGGCAACTGAATTGTTTTTCTGATGAATGTTGGCTGCACTTCCCGTGGACCAACAATCCACGTGGTGTGCGGGATCTCCTTTTTTTATTGTTACTTTGCTTTTGTGTTGCTGTGTGCGAGCTGCACCTATTCTCTTGTGTGTGTGCGTACCCTCCGTGAGGGGTGCCGACACGACGGACCGCTCTCGCCGTATGTTCATGCGGTGGAGCCTTGTGTGCCGCTCCTGTTTGCTTCTCCCTCCTCCATCTGTGTGTTGGTGTTGCGGCAGGGCTGTGTGTGTGTGTGCCTGCTGCCGTGGATTGGAGTGTGTGTCGTGCGTGGTGTGCGGCGTACGGTGCATGCCTGGCTGCTGCCCTCTCCTCATGTGGTGTGCCCTCTCTGTGTGTTTCTGCCGCACCTCTCGTCTCCCCTGTTGCTCTCCATGTCCCTCACTGTGCAGATCAGCTCCACACCACTGAACGACCACACTCACGATGATGACGTGCCGTCTGCTGTGCGCCCTGCTGGTGCTCGCCCTGTGCTGCTGCCCTTCCGTGGGCGCGACAGGGAGTGAAGATACAACTGTTGAAGTTGGACAGGGTCCAACGCCCCAGGATTCAGGGAGTTCAAGCGATTCCCAAATTACAGGAGCAAAAGTTACGGAAGATAATGGACAGAGTTCAGATATGGAGCCCAATTTGTCAGAGAGACAATCGACGACCGCTTCTGCTCCAGCAACTCCAACATCGACAGGTACAGAAGAAGGACCAAGTGAACTGCCCACTTCGCAAGATGGAAGAGGTGCGACTGCTCAGCCAGAGGCATCAGAAGTGAATAGTCTTTCACCAGGATCAACAGGTGATTCCGATAAGTCAGATGTAAATAATCCGGAGCATAATAATGAATTGGCGCTAGTTGGTAAAGAAGTTAAGGAACAGGCACCAACCACGACCACCACAACGACCACAACTACAACAATGGCGCCAACCACGACGACCACCCGCGCACCGTCACGTCTTCGCGAAATCGATGGCAGCCTCAGCAGCTCTGCGTGGGTGTGTGCCCCGCTGCTGCTCGCCGCATCCGCGCTGGCGTACACCACTCTGGGCTGAAGAGGTGTGTGTGGGCTGTGCGTGACAGCACTCAGCCACGGGGATTTGTGCGCGTCTACTGTTGTCCGATGTATAAAGTAAGAGTGATTATGATTGTGTTTTGCTTCATTTGCTTCTGCTGCCCTGCTGTGTGCTCCGTGTTGTTTTCCACATTTATCACGTTGAACGCATCCCAGACACACTCGTATGTACTACACGCACACAACTGTTTGCGTGGACGCATTTCTGTGTGCTGGTGCATGCGCATTGGAGATATTTGGAGCAGCTGTTTTTTTTTTTTTTGTGTGCTTCTACTTGTTTTTACTTTATTGCTGTTTGTTTACTGTTGTTTTGTTTTTAATTGTTTCTTCTGTGTTTTTCTTGCTGATCAATTACTGCGGGGCTGTGTTTTTTTGCGTTTTGTCCTCCCACTGATTCCAACTGCCTCATGGTGTGTGCAAGCTGATATCATTTGTCACTGTGTGGTGACTGTGCGTCGTTGACTGACTTGTCTCTTTTTTTGCTTCCTCTTTGTTGACGGGGAGTTAGTTTGTGCTGAAGGCTACACGCAAGTGACAGGAGTGATGGCGATGATGATGACTGGCCGTGTGCTGCTGGTGTGCGCCCTCTGCGTGCTGTGGTGCGGTGCTGCGGTGGTAGTATCGTCGGAGCCTGATGTTGACGGTACATCCGGTGATTCTGCGAGTCGTGGTGGAATCTCGCTTGAGTCGCCACCAACAGTTCTGTCACCGTTACCTCCGGTAAAATCCGACTTTGCTGAAGATGAAGGTGAAGGAGTTTCTGGAAAGGAAGAAATGGAGCGTAGTAGTGAAGAAGAAGGATCTGCACCTGTGTTAGATACCAAGAAAAGCACTCCGATTAAGCCTCAGCAGGAAGCAACACATACTCTTGCAGGAAAAACTTCGGAAGGAATGGATGGAGTTGCTGGTGTGGAAGGAGGTGGAAAAGAGAAAAAGGCTGAAGAAAAAAAAGACGATAAATCTAAAGAAAAGCCTGGAAGCACTTTATTGACGGTGTCTGGATCGAATCTGACTGGCGAACAGAACCCACGGGTACATCCACCGGGTGGAACTCAAGAAAGTGAAGTGGTGAACCCCTTAACTGACAGTTCGCCGGGAATTGGAGTTCAACAACAAGTTTCATTGGGTTTGTTGGAGGGTGCACCAGCCAAGAGTACAACGGACGCTAATCCATCATCCCTATCTACAGGTGGGCGTGGTTTTGACAACGGTGAGGGAAGGGAGGATGGCTCAGGGATTACTGAACTGCCTGCCGCCAGAGAAGGCCAAATCGAAATGGAAGATGGTGGCAGAAAAGTCAAATCTACGACAGGTGTGGAGAAAGAATTACAATCACCAGTCAATAAAGCCGCAAACACGAGTGAGACGGTAATAAATGGCTACCGTAAAAGCAGGCCCACAGCAGCTACGGCCCTGCAGTCTGACGATGGCTCAGAAAGCAATCCGGCCACAAACGGCTTGAACCACTCCTCCAGTGAAGGAATCGCACACCTCAGTACGACCCCCGATCCTGAAGACGCATCAGAAGGCACGGAGAATGCGACATCCCAGAGTGCAGAAATCCCAACAGCACCAATTAACACAGTCAAAACAAATGACACGGCGATACCTGGCGACAGTGACGGCAGCACCGCGATACCCCACACCACCTCTCATCTTTTGATTCTTCTTCCTGTTGTTGCGTGTGCGGCTGCTGCTGCGGTGGTGGCCGCGTGAGAGTGAGTGAGAGAGAGCCATGCACCGCCCGCACACACACTCGTCCGTCTCTCTCTCTCTGTGTGTGTCCCCTTGCATGGACTCTCGCCCTCACCTCACCCCACGAAGCACACACATAATGTGCCCATTGTATATATTGCATGCACACCCATGCATGCCCGTTGGTGCTCTCTTTTGCACCACACGCACCGCTGCCGTCCTGCCTGGCTGCATGGGCGGAGCACCGTAACTGTTTCTGTTTTGTTTCCATTGCATTGAGTGGGCGACCTCTCTCTCTCTCTCTCCCTGTGTGTGTGTTTTGCTTTACGGGAGCAATGGGAGTGTGTGCGCTGGTCGTCCAACGCTTCGGCTTTTTGTTTTGTTTTGAATCTCTGCTTGTGTTGTGGTTGAGAGCACCCATTCCGCAAGCTGCGTGTGGGTAATGATATGAGTCATTTGCGTGTGTGCTATCTCCTTTTCTCTGCCGTTGCTTTATTTGGACTCTCTTGTGCCGCACAGCTGCTCTGCATGTATAGGCGCTGACAAACACACAGGCAAATGCACATAAGCCGTGTCGCACACACGTGGGCTGCCCCTGCACAGATAGAGAAGCTCTCGGCGCGCTTTTGAATGTCGCAGCGGGCTCCATTGGACTCGGCGTGTTGGCGCCTGTGGCTGCCTTTGGCGACGCTCCGATCCGCTCTGTTGGAAGTGCCGGCGGGGTTGTGGGGTGGCGGGAGAGCAACGGCGGACACGGTGACCTCTACGCAGTGAGCTCACAGTAACTTCCTCGGCCAGTGGCAGTGCGGATGGAACTGTCATAATGATCGCACCGCCGGCACGCTTGTTGTCGAGTTCCCCGAAAGGAGAGCAGTGAAAGAAGGTCCGTCCGCATGACTCTTTGCATCTCCGCCTCAGGGCTGCGCATCACAATCGGGGTTGCCGTGCGGTTACGCAACAGGGTATGATCTGCTGGGAGAGCGCGCTGTGCGATGCTCCTGCACCTGTGACTGGTGCTGTGCCGTTGGCGGATGTTGAGTGGCCGGTCACACAAATATTGCGACACCACGAGGAGAGCAGACCAAACACTCCGCGTGGAGGGAGCGGTGCGTCTGGTGAGGACTCTGTGCGACGGTGATGGGCGTTCTCTTGAGGACGGATTGACAGATTGTCCATTTGGTGGAGTCGGTGCGCATGCTGTGTGTATGGCCGCCTCTGTGGTCTCCTGTTGCTCCGCTGCGTGGGCCGCATTCTGACGCATTACTGGTCCAAAGCCATTTTGTTTTTCTTACTCTTCTTTTTCTTTTGTTTCTCTCTTCCCGCATCCAGGCTGCGCTGCTGCTGCTACTCACACGAAACCAAGAAATGCATTTTACTCAAGTCATGCGCCAGCCACGCCACGCCACACCGCCTTTCCCACTGGTGGTGTTGCTGCTGATGTGCTGCGCCAGTGGGTGTATTGCTGATGCACCCGCCACACAATAACGCCGTGGGTTTGACGTGATGATGAGGAGGAACGGCCCGCTGTTGACTGCGGTGGTGCGTGAGGTGCCGCGCAAGGGACAGGGCGCGATGCAGGCGTACACCGTCGCCGCAAAGGATGACGACAGTGGCTGGGAGCCGATCCGCATTGCGGTTTCCATGGAGGATCTGGAGAGAGGCATGAACAAGAGGAAGTACTGCGAAGAGGGAGAGGATGAGTGCTACAACGCCTTGGGGCACAAGTTATCATGCAAAGCAGAGCATTTCCTGACGGAGGCAAAGACACAATTGTACACTGGAAGAATTCTCTTCGGTGCCGTCAAACTGCACGCTGAGCGACTCCTTGTGAAACCCACTGGTGGGACGATAACTTTACCGAGGGCTATGAATGGACCGTGCAGCCATTTCACGGTTCCTACCAGGCACAAGAGCGACGGTGTGTCGAATGGAGGTTTTATCATCTACGCTGCTGCTGGGCCATCAGGCACGGATGGCAGGGCTGTGTGGGCGGCCGCGTGTAACACACTGACGGATCTTTGTCCTTCCATTGGCGCCATGGACTTTGACCCGAAGTACATGACTGACACGGCGTGGAGCGTTCGCGTTGCCGCACACGAAATTGCGCATGCACTTGGGTTCAGCCAGGAGAGCATGAGAGAAAAGAGCCTGGTGAAGAAGCGAGAGAGAAGTGTGCGTGGGACGCACCGCAGGATGGTGGCAGGGAAGCACGTTCAGGAGAAGGCGAAAGCGCACTTTGGTTGTAAGTCTCTCGAGGGCATGGTGCTGGAGGACGAAGATGGCCCTCGGGAAAAAGCGATTCTTCACTGGAAGGGACGCCACGCGCGGGACGAGCTGATGGCCCCCGCAGTCGGCGCCGGCTACTACACGGCTCTGACGATGGCGGCTTTTGCTGATATGGGATACTACCGTGTGAATTGGAGCATGGCGGAGCCGATGAGCTGGGGCAGCCGCAGTGGCTGCGACTTCCTGGTCAACAAGTGCAATACAACCGATAATATTGCCGCCAAGTATCCTCACATATTTTGCGATGCTAAAGACACAGAGACGCTTCGCTGCACCTCCGACCGCCGTCACGTTGGGACGTGCACCGCAAGCATCGTTGAGGACAAGGGGAGTCTGGTGGATAAGGACGTTTGCCCTGTCGTATCTTCCGAATTTCACGAAATATCGTCTGGGACAACGTACAGGACGTGCTCGGACGAAAATGTGGATTATCTCCGTGGGTCGCTGACTGGCGGTGGCTCGTGGTGCCTGGACGCGGAATTACTGGAGACGAAGGATGGTGATGGCCATAAAAGCGTCAAGGGAGTGTGCGCGCAGGTGTCGTGTGAGGAGGGCACAGTGAAGGAGAGGCACCTCGGCAGCAGTGTTTTTCAGCCTTGCCCTGAGGACACTGACATCCCAGTGACGTTGAAATATTTTAAGAAAGATGGGAAGATCAAGTGCCCCAATTACGGCGAGGTGTGCACCATTGCCGCGAACGGCAGCAGTCTTGTCATTCCGAGTGCGTTGGTGGATGGACAGGCTGACGAGCAAGAGAAGGAAGCAGAAGAGTCTGCGGTTGCTTCAGGGTCGCCTTCTCCGGAGAATACTCGTCCACAGTTGTCTCCTGTGGCGTCTGGTGCCTCCATTGAAAAGGAGCCTCCCGGTGCTTCGGCTGTGGGTGTCGCTGGTGGTGGCCTTCATGCCGGTCCGAGGTGTGATCCGGGGGTGCGGACCGAAAGTGAGGACAACACTCAGCGGCGAGGGAGGAGACCTGGCAGTGGAAGCGACGGAGCCAACAGAGCCTCCGGCCCCGACGCTTTTTTTGCGCCATCACCCGGCGAGGACGTTGCACGAGCGGAGTGCGACCCGCGGGCGGATTGCCCAGCGGTGATTTCCAGTGCCTCCGCGCCTGCCACTCCGATTCCGTCCGTCAACAGCGACGATTTTCAGGCGATACCCGATGCGTTGGTACAGCAGGCCGACAGTGATGGCGGTGTGGCTGCTGCTACTGCTGGCCTCATTCCCTTTGTGCTTCTTGTTGTGGTCGCTGCGGCGGTAGTGGTGGTGCCTCTTTGAGCAGCCGCGGCGGCTGGGCGCAATCAAACTGCGGCAGGGCGACAGTATTTAGTTGGCACATTGGCCCCGCACTCAAGATGTGCAAAACCGTAGCAATAACACTATGATACACTCACTGCATTCCCCGTTTCCTTCTTTGCTTGTGGGTGATGGGCAAAATGACCGGTCTTTCATTGCTTTTTATTCTGGGAAAAGGTGTTTTTGTTTTATTGCCTAGAGGGTTTAACTTTCGTGAAAACTGTGTGTGAACGAAGCAACATGGAAAGAAAAGAAAGTTCCCAGCACCGCATGTATACACGCGTTTTTTGATGCGATTGGGACGAGGGGAAATCACCGTACTCTAATCGTGAGTAAAAAGTAAAGGAAATGCGCTCCAATGGAGGCGGGGTCGTGCCAGCAGCTGTTTCTCTGAAGGACAGGGACGACTGCCTCTGCCTCCGTAATTGGTGCATGCGGCTTTATCTTTTACACTTTTGCTTGTTTTTGTGACTTTTTTTTTTTTGTGCGTGTGTCATTGCGAGAATGTGGACCTCAAATAATTTCTGTGCTTTGGCTTTTAATCTGTATGCGTCCTTTTTATTTTTTTGCCTTCCCGAGTTTTTGCATCCGTTTTTGATTGGCCGTGTGTGTTTCGGGTGCTCTGCTGCACTGTGGGTAGTGTGTCTTACTTCCTTCTGTCCCTGCTGTTCTGATTGTGAGAACACGCTGTGGGTCAGGGTGCATGGCTCCGTGGTTGCGGCACTATTTGTTGTGGTTGCGTTGAGGCAGCCCCGACAAGACTGCCAACGTGTGGCTCTTGGGTGTCTCGTTGGGCTCTTTTCCGTCTCCTGCGCGATGGACTCCCGTCTTCGGCGCACCCTTTCGTGCAGTGGCCTCAGCGCAACAAGGTGGCAGTTTTGTTGCTGTTGCTGCTTCAGCTGTTTTGTGTTTCCCTCTGGTATTGTGAGGTGCAGGTGTCGGAGGTGGCGGCAATGAGCCGAAGATAAGGAGGAGGAGGATGCTGCGTGCGGGAGGACCCTGCGGTGTTGGAGCGGTGCGCACTGTTTGCGGGCTTGATGCGCCCCTTTGGTGCATGGCGTGTCTTGGTGTGTCCTTCTTGCCGTGTGTGGTGCCAGCCGGCTCTTCACGATTGTGGCAATGGCGTGTTGACAGCTGTGTTTGGGTTGGCGTTGGCTGTTCCACCCTCTGGGGCTACGAGGACGTATGCGTCACAATGAGCGACACCAATCGCGCACGACGCCTGGTCTGCAAGCAAGTGACGCACCGATTGCCGACGCGGCGCGGCCCTCTTGTCTTTTTCGTCCCTCTGGTAGTCTACAGTCTGATGTTTAGACGTAGTGGTCTCCTCTTTTCTCACTTCTTTTGTGTGTGAGCGCATGCACTGACCACAACAATTGTACAACAAAAGTATTACAGAGTGCAGGTTTGTGTGTGTGTGTGCCTGCTGCCGTGGATTGGAGTGTGTGTCGTGCGTGGTGTGCGGCGTACGGTGCATGCCTGGCTGCTGCCCTCTCCTCATGTGGTTTGCCCTCTGTGTGTGTCTGCCGCACCTCTCGTCTCCCCTGTTGCTCTCCATGTCCCTCACTGTGCAGATCAGCTCCACACCAGTGAACGACCACACTCACGATGATGATGACGTGCCGTCTGCTGTGCGCCCTGTTGGTGCTCGCCCTGTGCTGCCGCCTGTCAGTGTACGCGACACCGTCTGATGAAGATAAAGCTGGTAATTCTGGAGGAAACTCCGATCCAACGAAGTCTAATTTAGGAGGGCCAAATCAGGTGACGCAATTGCCTAATACAACTCCTCTTCCGCCAAAGGTAAGTGAGGGAGGGAAAGTAACAGCAGAGTCACAAAGTGATCTCAGCCAGGCACAGGATCAGGAAAAAGATGAGAAATCCACTAACGAAGAGGTGGATGGTGATGAAACCGATAACGCAAATGACCAAAATCAAAAAACAAATGCAATAAATGCGACAACCACTACGACAACTACGAAAACCACAACGACCACTACAACACAGGCACCAAGCACTACGACGACCACGACCACCACTGCGCCGGAGGCACCAAGTACTACGTCTACAGAAGCAGCAACTACGACGACCACCCGCGCACCGTCACGTCTTCGAGAAATCGACGGCAGCCTCAGCAGCTCTGCGTGGGTGTGTGCCCCGCTGCTGCTTGCCGTATCCGCGCTGGCGTACACCGCTGTGGGCTAAAGAATTGTGTGCGGGCTGTGCGTGCCAGCACTCAACCGCGGAGATTTGTGTGCGTCTACTGTGGTCCCATGTAAATAAGTGAGAGAAAATATTGATTGTGTGTTTTGCTTCATTTGCTTCCGCTGCCCTGCTGTGTGCTCCGTGTTGCTGCTCCATGTATCCGTCACGTTGAACGCATCCCGGACACACTCATATGTACTACACGCACACAACTTTTTGCGTGGACGCATTTTTGTGTGTGAGTGCATGCACACTGGATCCATTTAGTGCAGCTGTTTGTTTTTTGTGTTTTTACTTTATTGCTGTTTGTTTACTGTTTTTTGCTTTTAATTGTTTGTTTTTTTTTATGTTTTTCTTTCTGATCAATTATTGCGGGGCTGTGTGTATTGTTTTTTTTTCTTGCCCTTTCAATGATTACAACTGCCTCCGGGTATGTGCGCTGGGCTGCTGCCATTTGATACTGTGTGGTGACTGTGTGTGGTTGTGTGACTTTTATTTTCTTTTTGCTCTCCCTTGACGGGGAGTTAGTTTGTGCTGAAGGCTACACGCAAGTGACAGGAGTGATGGCGATGATGATGACTGGCCGTGTGCTGCTGGTGTGTGCTCTCTGCGTGCTGTGGTGCGGTACTTCTGGCGGTAGATGTGACGAGGATGTTCGGGTTACTGAAGAGAAAAAAGAATCATCGGGGGATTTGCAGCCCGTAACTCCTGTTGCTGCTGCAGGAAAACAGCACGCGGAGCCAATTAATCAAGATTCCGATCTCGTGAGGCAACCGTTGGTTAAAGATTTAGAAGGCCCTTCACCAAAGCACCAAACAGATGATAAAGTCTTGGGCGTGGTTGATAATGAAGACGATGTTACGGATAAAGAAAAGGAAGAAAGAGATAAAGCACAAGAAGGGGCACCTGATGGTCAAACGCAAGAAGAAGAAGAAGTACCGCCACCACCTTCACTTCTTTCTCCAGCACCACTACAATCACCACCACCACCAGCAGCATCGGATGGAACTCAACCCGGTGGCGGTCCTGGTGCCGACAGTTCTGGAGGAGGTTCCAACGGAAGTGGAAGTTCCATTGGAGGTGGAGGCTCGAATTTAGAGACTCTTGCTCATAATGGTGGCAATCAATCTGCTTTTGGGAGTTTAGGTTACGGTGGTGAAACTGGCTCTTTCTCTGGTGGAGCGGGAAAAGGCGGAGTCGACATTGGCAGTCCTCGAGGTGATTTCTCGGATTCTTCTCTTTCTGCGGATGGTACTTTTTTATCTCCCGCCCCCGATGCACCATCTTCGCAGGGTACGCAATCTTCAGCAAACGTTGAGCGGTCAAAGACAATGCCTGCAGGGTTACCATTGCCCAACGTGAATGCACCAAAGGGACCAGAATCCAAAGCAGGATCACTGCCCCCGAATACACAAGAGAAAGCAAAATGCTCAGATGCTAATGGGGGTGCAGCTGGAAACAAGGCAAAGCAAAGTGACGTGGAGACGGAAGATCCTTCCAGTTCGTTTGCTAACACCGGCGACCAAACAGTAGAAAAAACGCTATTATTACCACAAACACCGGCAGTACTACTGCCAGTTCCATCAGCAGAACTATCCCCAGAAGTGCCACCAGTAACTCCTGTACAGGCAAATCCAGACGGAGAAGGAGGCCTACCAACAGCACCAAGAGCCTCAGAGGCCTCAAAAAGAGAAATGCAGAACAAGGCATCGTCACCCAACAAAACGGGGTCCGAATCACCGGACCGTCCTTCAAAGGATGGTATGCAAGAGCAAAAAGATAAAGTCACAACGCAATTGAATACGACGAAAAAAGCATCTGCCGGCGGTTTAGCGGAAACAACAGCAAAATCCATCTCTGCAAATGAAAATGGCGATGTCCAGAATAAGGAGGATGAGGATGATGCTCGGCAGCCCAAACCCAACAGACCGCAGGACGACGCCGAAGCTGGCAACACCAACGTCGCTCCTACAGTCAGTGAGGCAGCAATACAAACAGCGGAAACAGTCACCACCTCCAGAAAAAATGACACGGCGCCGCCTGAAGACAGCGACGGCAGCACCGCGGCCTTCCACACCACCTCCCCTCTTTTGCTTCTTCTTCTTGTTTTTGCATGTGCGGCTGCTGCTGCGGTGGAGGCCGCGTGAGAGTGAGGGAGAGAGAGCCGTGCACCGCCCGCACACACACTCGTCCTTCTCTCTCTCTGTGTGTGTGTCCCCTTGCATGGACTCTCGCCCTCACCTCATCCCACGAAGCACACACATAATGTGCCCATTGTATATATGCATGCACATCCATGCAGGCCCGTTGGTGCTCTCTTTTGCACGACACGCACCGCTGCCGTCCTGCCTGGCTGCATGGGCGGAGCACCGTAACTGTTTTTTTTTTTGTTTCCATTGCATTGAGTGGGCGACCTCTCTCTCTCTCTCTCTGTTGCCTCCGAGAAGTAAATATTCCACCAGCCACAGCCGACTGTGCCATCGTGACACTCCATGCACGTCGTGGCTGCGTCAACACATCCTGTTTCCTGCAGCGCCTCAAAAGATGCCTCACTCCGTCCACTAAGTGCATCGATGTGGGCCGTGCCTCGGCTGTTCGTGAGGACCACAACGATGTGAGGGTCACCGAGTCGCAGCACGTTTGTTGTGACGTTGCATGGCACCCGCACACACACACACACGCAGCGCCTGCATCCCTCCCTTTTGTGTCCGCCCTCTGCCGGAGTGGCCACACACACGGGCAGCAGCAAAATCACTTCACCCTCGACGATCCAAAATCAACACCGACATCCCTCGCGACGCAAAGATCTCAGTTGCCAGCACGGGCTTCCTGTCGCTCTGCCATCGACGCTGAAACACGGCACAGTGCACGCACTCATTTTCCTCGTGTGCGGTCAGCCGTTTGGTTCACACATTCTTCGATGGGCTGACGTCCACAAAAGCACGCCACAAAAGGCCACTGTGATCGCACACGCTCTTGCGATGAGCGTCTGTGTGTGCATGGATCCGCTGCTCACACGTGCTGGGAGGCAGCCTGCAGCCGGTGCCCTCGTGCCAGTTCATCGGCTCCAGCACGGAAAAGGGAAAACGGCCTATTCCCGATGCACCTATTTCCACCAGCAGCACCAACACGCTGGTCGCCAGCCGTCATTCCTCAGCACATCCAGGAATGCTGAAAAGTGACGTGGAGCTGTCAGCCAGCAATGCCACAATCCCCGCACACATGTCGGGTCCACCAGAGAAGACACATAAATCACAAACAACACCCTTCACACGTCATCCGAACATCATTCCGACACACCGCGACACGCCAAACAGAAGTATTCGTCACCCCAATGCACCTCCCCACACAATCACATAGTCCATGCCCCACGCACGGCAGCAGCTCACACGCGGTCAAACAAATGTTCCTCGGATTCGTGTTATCCACGTGCTGCAGTTGGAAGTAAACAAAAGAGACAAGCTGCCAAACCCCAAAAGAGTGCCACGACTGGCCGCAAGCCAACGGAACGCAGCCACTCAAATGAATTCAGTCCTCATGCCCTCAGCCCCCCACCTTCCCCACAAAAGCTGCAAAAGATGGAAAACAAACGCACCGTCCAATAAATTCTTTGTGCAACACCAAAAGAAGCCGCAGTGCCTTATGCTGTCCTCACAGTCCGTTGATGACGCCTGGATGCGGATGGTCACCCATCGGTCCTCACAAACGACGCCGCACACCCGCGACGCATCCTGCGCTCTGAGAAACGCATCCCTCACTATCACCAGAGACGCCCACGCACCGTCGGTACGCAACAAATCGTCAAGGAACGAAGGATACGTCAGGCTGACAGCAAGACACCCGCCGACAAATCACAGCGCAGACATCATCGCTAGCAGCAGCACCGGAAGCAAAGCAGGCCGCAGAGTAAAGTAGATCAACTGACGCATGACGCATGTCAAAAAAAAAAAAAAAAACTTGGCGTGACAAGGATACGAGAGACTGACACTCTCCCAACAAGAAAGGAAGAAACAACAAGAAAATATCGAACAAAGGACATTTTGGACGTCCGCAGTCAAAGTAAGCCAAAAATAAATAAAAAAAAAATGTAATGGGTGCACCCAACCACAACACAAGTAAAACAGCAATAGACAAAAAAAAAGAAGCCGAAGCGTGGGACTACCAGCGCACACACTCTCATTGCTCCCGTAAAGCAAAACACACACAGAGGGAGAGAGAGAGAGAGAGGTCGCCCACTCAATGCAATAAAAACAAAACAGAAACAGTTACGGTGCTCCGCCCATGCAGCCAGGCAGGACGGCAGCGGTGCGTGTGGTGCAAAAGAGAGCACCAACGGGCCTGCATGGATGTGCATGCAATATATACAATGGGCACATTATGTGTGTGCTTCGTGGGATGAGGTGAGGGCGAGAGTCCATGCAAGGGGACACACACAGAGAGTGAGAGAGAGAAGGACGAGTGTGTGTGCGGGCGGTGCATGGCTCTCTCTTCCTCACTCTCACGCGGACACCACCGCAGCAGCAGCCGCAGCGGCCGCAACAAGAAGCAAAAGAGGGGAGGTGGTGTGGGGTATCGCGGTGCTGCCGTCACTGTCGCCAACCTTTTCATTATCTCCAGTTTGGCGTTTTTCTGTCGCTGCAGCATCCGGAGTTCGAGCATCCTCGTTTGTCTTCGTCCCTGTGGATTGTTCCTCCTCAAAAGGGGAAGGTTCTTCGCTTGTAGATGGCTCAGCTTCTTGTTCTTGACTGCCAGTTGATGTACTCTGCGCCGTACCTTCCGTAGAGGCAGGATATTCCTTATTTTCCTTTTGTAGTTCGGGTAGGTTCGTGGATGTATCCGTGCTTTGGCTTTCATTCGTCTTTTTTTCCTGGGTTAACACTTCATTTTGGGTTTTGTGCTCCGGCGGTACTGTGTTTGGCACTGTCGTTTGGGCCTGTTTACTGCTTTGTGATTTTATACCTGAACTCTTTAATGGGTCTTCTTTTCTGTGGTTCTTTGAATCCTCGTTTCCAATATCTTGTGCTCCCAATGAGGGCTGACCTTCTCCACCCGTATTGTTCTCGCCAACACCTTTACCCTCTTCTGAAGCAGAAGTGTGTGGCTGAGGTGCTGATGGCGATAGCGGTTGTGACTGTTGCGGTGGTGACTGCGGTTGCTGTGGTACATGTACTTGCGATTGTGGCAGTTGCCTTACTTCCTGTTCTTTATTTTGTAATGGCCGTTCTGTATTTTCTTTTCCTGGATCGTTCACCACAATTTCTTCTAAACGCCCTGAAGGGCTTCCATCTTCCTCCTCCACTCCAGGAACAACATCCTGTTGATCAACATTAACTCCGTTCCCTTCCAAAGATTTTCCTCCAGACGCTTCTGTTGATTGATTAACCTTGGATACATCTATTGGTGAATCTGATGTGTCTGGTCCTGACGTTGAAGTTTCAGCAGTCTCCACCGCACTTTTACCACCACTCCCACCTCCAGCACCACCGGCAGGCGCTTTCACCACCTCTGTGCATTCGCCTCCGCCGGCACCGCACCACAGCACGCAAAGGGCACACACCAGCAGCACACGGCCGGTCATCATCACCGCCATCACTCCTGTCAATTGCGTGTAGCCTTCAGCACAAACTAACAACACGTCAACGGAGAGTGAAAGCAAAAAAGAGACAAGTCACACAGCCACTCACAGCCACAGTAACAAACAGCAGCAGCGCAGCACACAACATGGGGCAGTTGCAATCAGCGAAAGGAAAAAAAACGCACACAAACACACAGCCCCGCAGCAATGAATCAGCAAGAAAAATAAACACAAAGCAATTTAAAAAAACACGAGTAAACAAACAGCAATAAATTAAAAAAAAGGTAAAACCACAAGAGATAAACTGATGCACAGTATAGCTCCAGTGTGCATGCAACAGCACACAGACATGCGTCCACGCAAACAGTTGTGGGCGTGCCGTGCATATGAGTGTGTCTGGGATGCGTGCCAAGTGACGGACAGAGGGAGCAACAACATGGAGCACACAGCAGCGCAGCGGAAGCAAATGAAGCAAAACACACAATCATTACTTTCTATTAGTTATTACTCTGTAAAACAAAAGAAACGCACAAATCCCCGTGGTTGAGTGCCGGCTTTAATAGCCCGCATTCACTTCTTCAGCCCAGTGTCCCGTACGTGAGTGCAGCCAGAACAAGCAGCAGCCGGGCATGCAGATGGGTGTCATGGAAGCAGGCGTCAGTTCCCACACTGTTCTCCAGCGCGTTCGTTGTGGGCGCAGAGGAAAGAGGAGCCGGCGTGCTTGCCGCCGTAGAATTTCCTTCGCTAGAATCAGTGTCGGTGGTGTTGGCGGCGGTGTCCTCTTCGGCGCCTTCCGCTGCACCCCCGTCCTCGCCGGTCTGGGACAACTGAGTCGGTGGCGCAGCAGCATTCTCTTCCTGCAGCTCCACTGGGGGGGTCATGGGAGGAGTGGCCGCCGCTCTCTGTGAGCTCCGGGTCTGGTATGGATTCGGGTGCAGGAGAAGCAGCAGAGGCAGAATGTGAAGGGCCTTGAAGTTCACCAGAGGGAGCGTGATCCGACGCTTGCGAGGCCGCAGCAGAAGGATCCGTCGTGGCCGCAGCGCCAGCAGCAGAGTCAGCACCAGCGCCGCCTGAAGTTGCAGGTGGTGGAGGAGGAGGGGCACCAGTCGCAACCTGAACGACAGCAGGAGAAGATTCAGAATCCGGTCTGGAAGATGTTTCACGAGAAATATTGTCCTCTGGAGGGCTCGGAGGTTCTGCTTCCAAAGGTTTGGCCGGAACACTTTCAACGGTGGCCGCCTTCGGCTCCACTTTACGCTTCCACCAAATTTCCAGGATGTCTGGAGTGGGCGATGTGACGTTGATTGTGAAGACGCCATCCTTCGCACCTCCGTTGATACGCTTCCGAACATCCTCGGACGCACAGTTTCCGTCGCCCATGCTGCAAATCATTTGTCCCGCACCAGGAGCTGCATCCGAGCAGTTGTACCACAATGACTTCCCACGGAGTTGCCAACGCGCAACATTACCGTCACCCGCACACTCTGCATTCACCTGCGTCACCTGCGGCTCTTGCTCCTCCCCTTCCTTCACGGCAAACACGCACGAGCAGCAGCACAGCAGTGCCAGCACCAACACAACACAAAAAATACGGCGCATCATCATCGAAACTATCGTTGTTGAATAACTTGGATTCGATCTGCATGAGAAAGGAAGTACAGAGAGACAGCAGCTACACCACGCACAGCCACCGCATGGTAATAAATGGCAGCAGCCAGAAGAAGCGCACACCAAAAAGGACAGATGGAATCATTAAAACCGCAGAACTCACACACCGACCCGTAAACCAAAAATTAAAAGGGCGGAAAAAACAAAAAAAAAGAACACAGAAAAAAAAATGATGAGAGTCCAACAAAACTCCCAAAACTTTTAAAAAAATCAATCGGGCAGCACTCTTATTTCTTATGCCAAGCAGCACAAGAGAACCGTGTGTGTCTGTGTACATAATGCCTTCACCAAGAAAAGAAATCAAATAAAAAAGATCGTGCTGCTCCCTGAGCCCACACAACATCCCTCACATTTCATTGCGGCATCCGGCCTGTTCCTCCAATCCTCCTTTCGTGCAGTCCGTGGGACGCACAGCAATGAGACCGGCACCGCGTGTGGGCAACAAACAACAAAACAAAGAGGCACGTCAAACATGAGGGTGTACAGCAACCAACCATTAAATAAAAAAAGGAGCTTATAATTCCAGGAAAAAAACTAGCAGTAAAAAAGTAATAAAAATTAACACGCAAAGAACGCGGCACATGTTCCCCGTGAGGGGTCGCAATTCCACACTCTTTGGCTCACAAGACCGCCACAACTCCACACAACCCCAGAAGAAGCAGCAGCACCCAATACACGCACATACGCACAGTGCTGTCAACAGTTAACTCTCGCAGTGTCAATTTCGCGTCGTTGAGCAGGGCAAAGCAGTCGTCGGGACTCACACCGCTCTCGGAATACTGCGCGGTGAATTCTCGTAATTGCGGTTTTCGTGTCCAGAGGCATTGCGTTGAGTCAATCCGTCCGCATCACCCTCAGCAAAAAATAAACTGCCTGCAGTGCCATTTTCTAGAACGAGAGATTTGTGTCCGGTGGCGTTGCGCTCACTCACCTCGACCGTGTTATCCGCAGCAACGTGTTCCCTGCCGCCATAAGTGACAGACATGATCCCGGATGCATTCGACGCCACTAATATTCTCGGACCGTTGGCAAAGGAAAGCCTCTTCTTGGATGCATTCGGGACCATCATTTCGTTCGAATTGGTGGCAAACTCAAGCTTCGTCTCGGACGTGTTGGTCGCCGTGTTGGATGCGGGACTCTGATCGACGGTGTTCGGTCCGTCAGCCGCCGCAGACTGTCGCCAATCCTCGTGTTGACGTGACGGCTCAGCATTAACTTGCGGCGCAGTTGTCCCACCAGATTTTGTGTCATCCTTCCCTTCACGGGGTGGCGGCAACTGACAGATGACCGTCCGGTCAGCATCGCTGCTCCGTGCAGGCGGATGGATGGTTCCGTCGGGGGAAAATTGGCGCCACCACAATTCATAAGGGCCGGCGTATTTATGTGTCGTCACATTCATCGTGAAGGCAACGGTGGCCTCTTCCTCTTTCCTTGCACAGCTGGCAGCACAGTTGCTACATGTGTGCACCGCATTGGCCACATGGCACACAGCACCCAGCTCACCATTCCTGCTATGCATGCGCACATCAAAGCCACTGAAAGTATAATTCTCATGCTGAGCCTCAGCACTGGCAGCAGAACTCTTCTTCCACGCACACACACACACACACACGCGCACGCGATAGCTCAGGCTGCCGTCACTCGGAGCACACGACACATCCACCGGCACAACCACCGCATCCACATCACCAGATACATCTCCAGGAATCCCAACAGCCGTCACGCACACGGACGAGCAGCAGCAGCAGCACAAGAGCGTAAGGACCAACACGCCGCCGCACCGTCACCATCGCCACCATCGCAGTCATCGTCACCCGTAGTGGAGTCGCTGGAGCCAGTCAGATGATCCGTGAGGCAGAAGAAAAGAATGCAACAAGAGGGAGAGGGACGGAGTGCAGCGGATACAGCGAGAGAGAGGGCAGACAACAAGAGAAGGCAGCAGGCCCAGCCGCACAGTTCACACACCACGGGGCAGCATCCACGCAAGGAAGGCACACAACGCCAGCAGCCACCCACCATGCAGGAGGAGAAGATATCCGCCACCATATTCTCCCAGCTCATTCACAAAGCCAACGGGAAATGCCAAAAGCCCGCGGCCACCACACAACGCACACGGAGCGAGCACCCACCACACCAGCCACACGCGCCAGTGGACCCTCAGCTATCCATGACGCGGCAACAAAATTTCCAGCCATCCCGCCCTCAATGGGACACAGAGCCCAACTCAACGCAGTCACACGCGGTGCATCACACCCGCAGGAAAAGAGACTCGGGCTGCGCACTCCCTCCTCCCTTCTCCTCATTGCAACGGAAGAATACAACAGCCGCCACACGCAACTGCCAGCATGCACTGCAAAAGATGCATTCAAATCCACTGCAATGTGCATTTTGTGTGTGTGTGGTTGTGTGTGCCTGCAGAAACACAAAGCAAAGAAGTAAAGAAAAGGGAGCAGAGCATGTGAAGGGACGCAAAAAAAAAAAAAAAAAAATACACAGCGGAGGTGCATGGCGGAAACAACAAGAAAAAGACCGCTCAAACTCATGACTGCACTGCAGCCCAAGCAGTGGCAATTCACACAAGATTTATTTAGAACAAAAAATCTTTCCCCCCTTCGTCTTACACAAACCCCATCACACAAAATAATTATAAATAAAAAAGAAATCGTCCATTACTGTTCCACACAAATTTAAAAAAGCAGCCGGCTGCCGTGTGGCCACACCAAACTGTCTGCATATATTTTGCCCGCAAAAGAAAATTAAATAGTTGCATGTCTTTCAACCGTCTGACCCTCCATGTGTCCACACATCGTTTATATTTCATGGGTCATCTGCGTGTTGCTGCTCCCCTCAGCCCTCTCATCGGCGCGTGAGTGCGGCCTGCAGAGCACAGTCACTCTTCTTGTGTGCATGGGGACTGAGAGAAGCACGCAGAAATGACGGGAGTCGCGTCACTCCATCGGGAGAGTGAGCGCAGCAAAAGAAAAAAAAACTCAGGAGGGGAAAAGAAATGCTCACAAGACCGACACCGAGGGGGGTGCCACCGCGTGAAATGCACACGCAAAGCAAAAAGAAAACAAAAAACACGGCGGCAGGGTGTGGCTGTGTGTGTGTGGCGCTGCGGGTGTCTGCCCGCCCTCGCCGCTAAAAAACAAAAAAACAAGAGAGAAAGAAATGTGTGCTCCGCCCCACAGGCTCTCGTCGCACGCCCACACGTCACGGCTCCCTCAGCGCGCCGTTCGTCGCGGCCCCTCCTCATGCGTGCAGCAGGCGAGGCGCACAGGGCCGTCGTCATGAGCGTGTCGGTGGGTGTGCGAGTGGAGCAGTTGGGCGGGAAACACACGGCACCCCTCACAGGAAGAGTGCAGAAGAAACAATTAAAAGAGGGATGAGTAGAAAAGAAAAAGAACGTCCATAGTGATTGCCCCCAAAACCAAAAAAACAAAACAAAACAACAACAACACACAAAAAAAGCAAACAAGAAATTAAATTAAAATACGCAAAAAGAAAAAAAGACCTATAAACGAAATTCGTTCCCATGGGAAAGAAAGTCTCTGCTGAGGAGGTCGCAATTGTCCCACGCGGCAGCCAGTCACGCCTCACAGAGTCGCAAACCCCCACAGTCCCAACAGGAGCAGCAGCAGCAGCAGCAGCAGTCCGCTCCCACGCACAGTGCCGGCATCGCTGTTATTCCCCTGCGACAAATGTCCGAGGCTGCTGTTGAGTGCCGCACCATTCACATCCCTGTTCTGTGGCTGGACCTCTTCCTCCTGCACATTCTTTCCTGCCACCTTCTCCTCATCCTCAGCGGAGCTCGCACCCACCTCAGTATTCACTGTGGTTCCATCTTGCCCCACGCCCATAGTTGTAGGGCCATTTGCATCTGCTGTGGCAAGGTTTCCCGTAGGAGTTTTGTGTGGTGCATCCTCCTGCGTTTTATCTCCATATCCTGTGCTCACCGTTTGGTAGCCATCAGCAGTAGAACCGCCATCCACATTTTGATGCCCATCAGGAGATGTTCCTGGTGTCAAATGCTTTACGGACTCCTTGCCTGCTGAGGAACTCGTTACAGTGGACAGTGGTGATGCGGGTACACCGCCCGCACCGCTTTTCCCCAACGGCTGTCCTTTTTGCTCCTGCTGTTCAGCAGAAAAAGATGGAATCACGTTTCCTTGACCATTTTTGTTCACCAAAGGTAAAATAGAGGCTTCATTGGGATTGAGGGCTTCCATCTCATTGTCATCCTCCTCCTCCGCCTTCCTCTGGGCGTCAACGCTGTCACTTGTAGAGATGGATGATGGTGTTGAATCTCCTGAACGGCCTTTAGCTGCATCCTTCATCGAATCGGATTTGGTTGTTCCTTCACCGTGTTTCTCTGCCTCAGCATCCTCTAGAGACGGTTCTGGTGCCTCGGGATCCGTTTTGGTTTGTGACGGCGGTGTGTTTCGCTTTTCTTCTACTGCATTCCGTAAGTTTGCTGGTGCTAGTGGGGTTTCTTCTGCTGGGTACGCCGGTACTGGCGGTGTTGGCGGTGATTGGAGGGCGCTGGAGGTGTCTCTCTTCACCACCTCACTATGCCTTTTCTCGCTTTCTGTTGCATCCTCATTATCCTCTGTACTTCCTGCTTCTCCTTGTTTATCAGAGATGTGCGTTTTTATTTTGGGATCTGACTTCTCCGGTGCCTTCACGATGGGCGAATCGGACTGTCCAGGCGTTTTTGTTTGTACTGACGGACCACTTACATCTGAAGATACCTCGTCCTCAGAATTGAGCGTATCGCCAAGGGACTGTAGACCATCACCCTCTTCGGAAAGAGAATTTGGAGGAATACTACCAACAGAGAGAGAAGTTTCCAACGAAGACATCATATTTCCTTTGGGACCTCCAACAACAGAAAGAGGCTCCAAAGAGGAATTTACTTCAGGACCTCCACGTGAGCCACCTTCACTTCCAGGACTGTTGTCACCACCAGAGCTGCCACCGACAGCTGCCAAACCCTCAGCGTGTCCAAAAACCGCACCGCACCACAGCACGCAGAGGGCACACACCAGCAGCACACGGCCAGTCATCATCATCGCCATCACTCCTGTCACTTGCGTGCAGCCTTCAGCACAAACTAACTCCCCGTCAACGCAGAGTGAAAGCAAAAGGAGAGACAATTCACACAGTCACGCCACAGCAACAAATGTCAGCACCCCAGCAGCGGCAGCAGCACACAACATGAGGCAGTTGCAATCAGCGAAAGGGCAAAAACACACAAAACGCCCCGCAGCAATTAATAATCAGCAAAAAAAAATAAAAACAAAACACAGGTAAACAAACAGCAACAGTAAAAAATGTAAAAACACACAAAAAACAAAGGGCTGCACAGTATGGCTCCAGTGTGCATGCATTCACACACGGACATGCGTCCATGCAAGCAGTTGTGTGCGTGTAGTACATACCAGAGTGTCTGGGATGCGTTCAACATGACGGATGCGGGGAGCGGCAAGGAGCACACAGCAGGGCAGCGGAAGCAAATGAAGCAAATCACACAATCATTATTTTCTCTCATTTATTTACATCGGACCACAGTAGACGCACACAAATCTCCGCGGTTGAGTGCTGGCACGCACAGCCCGCATTCACCTCTTTAGCCCAGAGTGCTGTACGCCAGCGCGGATAAGGCAAGCAGCAGCGAGACAAAAACCCACGCGGAGCTGCTGAGGCTGCCGTCAATTTCGCGAAGACGTGACGGTGCGCGGGTGGTCGTCGTGGTTGGCGCCTCTGTAGTCGTGGTAGTACTTGGTGCCTGTGTTGTAGTGGTGGTCGTTGTAGTCGTGGTGGTCGTAGCTGGCGCAGTGATCCTTTTTGCTGAATTTTTTTTCCAGTTCGTTTGGAGGAGTTGGTGACATTCCCGTAGTGGCCGTACTTGGCGCTGTAACGGTCCTCGAATCCGGTGACTCTGCGTCTCTGGGCCGTATTTGTAACACTCCGGTTCCGGTCATTGCATCTGTTTCCTGTGTCCTGCCGGCTTCCGGATCTGTGGACTCTTTCGTACCGGACGTAGCACTTTCTCTCGTTGGCGCAGGAGGGGTTAAGAGGGAGTTTTCGCCTCCTCCTCTACCAGTTACCTGATTTTGTCCCTTTGTTGTATCGGAATTACTTTGTGACCCCGCCACACCGGAATTATCTGATTGCAGTTGCTTACTGCTCGGAGTTTGCACTCCTGGCTGAGGCAGCGGTTGACCGAGGATATTAACACCTTCACCATCCGCTGTCGCGCACACGTACGGGCAGCAGCACAGGGCGAGCACCAACAGGGCGCACAGCAGACGGCACGTCATCATCGTGAGTGTGGTCGTTCAGTGGTGTGGAGCTGACCTGCACAGCAAGGGACATGGAGAGCAACAGGGGAGACGAGAGGTGCGGCAGACACACACAGAGGGCACACCACATGAGGAGAGGGCAGCAGCCAGGCATGCACCGTACGCCGCACACCACGCACGACACACACTCCAA